AGGAATTATGAAACTCACTGAAAAATGGCAAAAGGTTATCAAACAAAACAGGCAATATATCATTGATTGATCTTTGTTCTTTATGTAAATAAATGACCTTTGAAAAACGTAGACAAAATACATCATGACTTTTCTGAAGACCCAATATGTATTCCTGAAGAAAGACTGCTTTATTGGAAATGCCTGAGGCTACTGGGCAGGTTTATCTAACCTCAAGTTTTCAGGTGAGGACAGGGTAAGCTCCCCTGAGTTACACATTTCAGGACCCTTGCTGTAGAATAAAAATGAGGAAATATAAAGGGTTCTTTCCCCCCATAACAACCTAAAGTCAATCAGATTAAAAACAAAAACAAAAGGAGCAGCCTCACACAAGAGAAAGCACACAAACTTTGAAAACTCGTACAGACCTGTGTGTAAAGCCTTCTCTGCCACTTGCCATCTGTGAACTTAACCATTCTGAGACTCAGTTTTTCCATCTATAAAATAACAATCATAATGCCTATTGCATAGGAATTTTGCGGGACTTACATAAGATGACATTTGTAAGGCATCTAGCGTAGTGATTTCCCCAAAGAACCTCATTTTTTTTAAATGTCTCCCTTCTCAACCCTGACAAAAGAGCATTATACTTCTTTTATTATAGAAAGAATATTGCCTGCTCCAGTACATAGTAGCTTGTATGTAATTTAGTAGCAATTTTCAGAAAACCAAGAATGACGTTTGAATGCACTTAGGTTAGTCTGCCAAAGATGGGGAAGGCAAGATTTTTAACACATTCTTAAAATTCCATCCAAGTACTCCGAAAAGCTGTACTTAAGCACCTTTTCAGTAATACTTTAATTGCCTTGGTATGAGCTGTATGTTTTCTGTGTGGCCTATTGTAGTATTTAAATATGTGAAGTAAAAATTTCAGTCATGCTTCATAAATTCTTACAGAGGAGGCTGGGTACGGGATGGGGGACAGACAAAGCAAGAGGAAGATGTGTGGGCAGGAAAAATTCAGGCTCCCTCCCCACAGTAGGCATGCTGGCAACCTAGGAGGAGGCCTTGGAGCACATGCCTTTCCTTCCGCCAGCTGTCAGTTGCCTGTGGGGTCCGGCACATTTCTTGGTGGCCTGGGTTCAATGCATCAGCTTATTTCTGCACATAATGGGAATTGACCACAGACCTGAGCTGTTTGCAGCTGACACAGCAATTCAGTACCCCCGGTAGGTAATAGATGTGTGTTTGTATCTATGGTTGACTATTCCATATAAAAACAAGGCTGGTGTCTCCTGACTGCAGGCAGGCTTTCCAGGGGGGCCATCAAGGAAGCGGCACTCCAGAGGAAACATGATAGGCTTCTGCTTAC